ACAGTAAGTATTTCCAAATTCTTCAACATTTCAAACATAAATTGAAATATTACAAATTATTCTTCAAATACTTTAGTGTTCTTCATATTCTTTACACATTATTATGGAAATTTAATAAAATTATAATGAATAATAAATGTCATTTTGAGGCATGTTTACAAAGAACAGCCTATGTTAAATATTCAAAGATTGGAAATTCCAGCGAACATTATTGGATATTATTTGAATAATGCAACATGCAGGTTTTATAAAGATTTATTTGTTTGTTTCAGAGTTATAGAGAAGGGGACAGAGAGAGAGCTTCCAGCTGCTGGTTCACTCCCTAGATGTCTGCAATGGCCAGGGCTGGGCCAGGCCAAAGCCAGGTACCAGGAGCTTCATCCAGGTCTCCCACATGGGTAGCAGGGGCTCAAGCACTTGGTCCATCCTCTGCTCCTTTCAGCCATTATCAGACAGCTGGAATGGAAATGGAGCAGCCTGGACATAAACCCACACCCACGTTGAGATGCCAGCATCACAAGCAGAAGCTTTACCCGCTATGCCACAATGTCGGCCCCCATTCAGGTTTCTTAGGAAGGTTGACAGTACTACCCAGAATCACATGTTGAAATTGCCAATTTAGGACTTATTTGGCTTCTAAAACTTGCTATTCCAATGTACAAATGACTGGATTTGTACAAAGTATAGTTATGGGTATAGACTTGTGAGTATTTGATTTACAAGAATCATTCACCATGAGTGACAGAGCCATGAGCACACTACACACTTTTAACATGACAACAGATTCAAGAAAGACTGACCAATTCGATCATGACCACTCCTGTTTCTGGAAACGTCGACCTTAACTTCTCATTCCATGTGTAAACATTTGCTATTGCTTTTGACTTAACATCAGTGGATTCTTTTGAAACCATAGTCTCTAAGTTGATAGTTAAGGTTTAATTCATTCAGGAGATTAGTACATATCTTCCCAGTTTCTCAATGGATTACCTTAGGATTCAGAATTCAAAAGAGCACATGTGTTTCCTAAGAAATTCTGGGGAAGAAATCTGCATGGAAAAACTGATGATGGTTGTTCTCAAAGTGTAGCCCTGGCATTACCAGAAAATATTTCACAGATGCAAATTATCAAATCCTACTTCACTCCTACTGTATCAGAAATAATGCAGGCAGAGCCCAGCAGTCTGTTCTCATAAGTTCTATGGTGATTTTGATACAAGCTAAAGTTTGAAGAACATTGCTATATTAATACCCTGGCTCTCTCACCTCTCGTTAGGGAAAACACTATGTATTCTACATTTGCTCACAGAGTTTCCCTGTGTTTTTTCTTAATCTGGATGCCAGTTCCCTGGAAGTTTATTAAAATTTGTTTTCAGCTGTACACTTAGGATTTGTGCAGTTTTATGCATGTATGCTATGCTTCCATATGTTTGAAAAAAAATTCAACATCTATGTCACATTACCTAGAATTTTCCTAGACTAAATTCTTACCAGGTGCTTCTTAAGTGCATGTTTTTGGTTTTGTTCACCTTCTTCTCTCCAAAATATAGTAGATGGCTAATTGATTTTCAGAAAATTGAACATAAAATCTCTCCATTCTGTTTGGGTCAGCCCATCATAACTCACTACCCCCTAAAATCAATTGTATTCTGTTTTATTTAATTCAATGTCTAATTGTTGAGCTGTCAGAGAACTTACATCCTAGCAAGTAATTAGATAATGATAGTAATAATAATGTCATAATAATATAATAATAATAATTGTGAGTTAGTTGAGTGTTGGCTTAATGCCAGGCACTGAATCTAATACTTAAAAAAATGTTATAAGTTGTACTTTTGTTCTCACTTTACAGTTGAGGAAAATGAGCCACAAAATCCTCAGCTGTAGGCCCAAGGTCCATGATTAAAGCCAGGTGGGTTGATTTTCAGAACTCTTTCTTCTAATCACTGCCTATGTTAGTTTTCTATTGTATAAAGATGTTACCACAAACTTAGCAGTTTAAAACAACATACACTTATTATCTCACATTTTCCAGGAGTCCAGGAATGGCCTAACTGCATCCTCGGTAGTCTTAAAAGGCTTCAGGCAATGTGTTGCCCAGAGTACATTCCTATCTTAAAGCCTGACTGAAAAAATCCATAGTTAATTTCCTTTCAGTTGTTGTACTAAGGCCTGCATCTCTGGCTAGTTGCCAGTTGAGGAGCACTCCCACCTCTTGAAGGCTGCCCTCTCGTCCTTGCTACATGGCCATTTCCTTAGGCCCTTTCACAACATGGCAGCATCCTTCTTCAAGGTCAGTAGTAGAACCTCTCTGACCTTTACACCCTCTTATAAGCCTCACCTAATTCATTCAGGCCCACCCAGGTCACCATTCCTTTAACTGACTCAAAGTTGATTGAGTAGGGACATTATGGCCTTCACCTATGTAACATCTCTCTAGCTTTGTCATCTAATGCCAGCTAATCATGAGAGTGCTCTCCCATTTTATCCCAGGTCCTGCCCACACTCCAGAGGCTGGAGAGAGGAGAGAAGAGGCTAAAGCAAGACACCCTTTCCCTCCTTCATGCCTCACTTTTAATCATACCCAACCTCCTAAATATGTGCTATATCTTTAACAACCTTCCCATAATTCAGGCCAGTGCCATTCATGCTAGGACAAATGCACCAACTCTGAGCTCCCTCTCTCAGCTGCTTGTATGGATCCTTCCCTCAGTAATCAGCATAGTCTTTCTAAAATGCCAAAGCTATCTTGTCAGTCTCCTAGCTCACAATTCTGAAAATGCTCTTGTTCGTCTAATCATTCCTGGAGGCAATATACAAAGTTATTCCTTCATTTATTCCCGCAGTTACTGTCTCTTACATGCCAGGCACTCTACCAAATGCTGGCAGTAAACAAGATAGACATGGCCCTCCCTTCATGGAGCTTTGAGTTTTAGGAGACAGACATTAAACAAACACCCATACAGGTAAATATTAAATACCATGGAAAGAAGCAGTTTGAAGGACAAGGACAAGATAGGGCTTCACTGTCCAATATGATAGCCACTGTCTACATGTGACTATTTAAATTTAAGCCATTAAAATTTAAAATTCAATTATCCCATCTCAGTAGCTACGTTTGCAGTGCTCATTAGCCACATACAGTATATTCATGCATTTGTGGCTCATTTCCTTCATCTCAGAAAGTCTTGTTAGACAGTGCTGTTAAAAGCCTATCTAAGCCAGCACCGTGGCTCAATAGGCTAATCCTCCGCCTGCAGCGCCGGCACACGGGGTTCTAGTCTCGGTTGGGGCGCTGGATTCTGTCCCGGTTGCCCCTCTTCCAGGCCAGCTCTCTGCTGTGGCCAGGGAGTGCAGTGGAGGATGGCCCAAGTGCTTGGGCCCTGCACCCCATGGGAGACCAGGAGAAGCACCTTGCTCCTGCCTTCGGATCAGCGCGGTGCGCCTGCCGCAGTGGCCATTGGAGGGTGAACCAACGGCAAAGGAAGACCTTTCTCTCTGTCTCTCTCTCTCTCACTGTCCACTCTGCCTGTCAAAATAAATAAATAAGTTATAAAAAAAAGTCTATCTAAAAGGGAGACATCGGGGCCGGTGCTGTGGCATAGCGGGTAAAGCCGTCGCTGCCTGCAGTGCTGGCATCCCATATGGACACCAGTTCAAGTCCCGGCTGCTCCACTTCTGATCCAGCTCTCTGCTATGGCCTGGGAAAGCAGTAGAAGATGGTCCAAGTCCTTGGGCCCCTGCAACCACATGGGAGACCTGGAAGAAGCTCCCAGCTCCTGGCTTCGGATCTGGGCAGTTCTGGCCATTGAGGCCATTTGGGTAGTGAACCAGCAGATGGAAGGCCTCTCTCCCTCTCTGCCTCTCCTTCTCTCTTTGTGTAACTCTGACTTTCAAATAAGTAAATCAATCTTTAAAAGAAAAAAAAGAAAGCACTAAGCTCCAAGTAAAGTGAGATTTAAAAAAATAAATAAAAGGAAGATATCAGCAAGACTTGGAGGGGGCGGGGGGCTGGCAAGTCAGAATACACCTCTGCAAGGATAGCGAATGGGGGAGAAAAATGCAGTGAGAATCCTGGAGCATCCAGAGAACAGATGGAGCCTGGCGATGGAGGGGTAGAGTAGATACATAAAAAGGCTGGAAAGCAAAGTAGCAGATAAAGAGGGAGGGTTCACACAGCTCCTTCAAAGGATCATAAACTTTTTTCTAAGAGTGACGCAAAGACCTTGTCTAAATTTTAAAGCATAGCCAGGTTTCTGTTTTAAAAATGCCTCACACAGTATATGCATTTATACAAGAATGAGAAAAAAAACAGAAAGGTGTCTTTCACTATTACCTTAATATCACATTTCTGAAATGTTTCAATAAATATAGATCCTGTTTACTCATTTTTAACTATATAAAGGGACTCCATTATTTGTATATTACACAGCTTTTGCACCTTTAAAACATACCAATCAATACATTCTGTGAAGGATCTATCCATGGAAATGAAAGCATACATGAATTTATAGGAAGGATATCCAGCATCAGTAGGGGGGAAAAGGAGAGAAGGCTGGGAAAGGCAAAAAGAAAGTTCTATATGTACTTTTTTTTTCCTTTTAACACATAGAAAATATTTGTTTATGTAAGATCTGAAAAAAATATGTAATATTTACCTCCATGAAAAAGTAATGAGTCATAGTTTTCTTAATTACATAAGCATCTGTTACTTCTTTCTCTATTCATATATAACTATTTTGAAGATTTATTTATTTATTTGAAAGAGAGAGATATACCATCTGCTGGTTCATTCCCCAAATGGTCATAACAGCTAAGTCTGGGACAGGATGAAGCCAGGAGCCAGAGACTCCATTCGGGTCTCCCACATGGATGTCAGGGGCCCTCTTTCACTGTCTTCCTGAATACATTGGCAGGACGCTGGATTGGAAGCAAAGCGGGGACCTGAAGTGGTGTTCCAGTACGGAATGCTGGTGTCATAAGCAGAGGTTTAACCTGCTGTGTCACAATGCCAGCCTCTGTGACTAATATTTTCACAAATTAAAGGTAGACTTGACCCAAGAGTGGCTCTAGATCAGCCAGGAAGAAGATTGTTACAGAGATTCAAGGAAAAGTTGATGGGCACTTAGATGAGGATGTTGAAAATAGAGATGGAGAGGTATTAAGTGAATTCAAAAAGTAGAATCAACAGAACATGATGACCAATTGAATGCAACATTGTAGGGAGGAAGGAGGTGCCAGGAACGACTCCCAGGTTTGTATAATGAGAACTGGTTAGATAGTAATGCTATGACTTTAAACTCATGACACTGAAAGACTTGCAGAATGGTGTGGGGTGGTGAGAAAGATAAATTATTGAATTTTGGGAAATGTTTGGTTTCTAATACCTCTGAAATATTGACATTGAAATGACAAGTGGCAAATGGCAACATGAATTAGAATCTTAGAAGAAAGGCCTCAGCTAGAGATAGAAATGCGGGCCTTATTAGAATAATATATCACTAGTAATATGTCTTAAGTTTGAGTGAAATACCTATGGAGAAAACATGAAGCAAAAAAATATTAGGGATAGTTGAACTGGTATAGAATTATATTTCCTTCAGTATGACTCCAGACGAAACTACTTTGTTCTGTAGTGAATAATATTAAAATAATTCTATTTGTCAGAATTCTGATTAAAAGTTTCTACATCTTAGAATCAACCTATAAATAAAGGTTCTCAAATAGTTACTTCAGCCATTTAAAATCTATGGATTCTTTCTTGTGTATGAATACTGGCTCTTCCACTTGCAAGCTGTGTGATTTATGTTGAATTACTATCGTGATGCTCAGTGCCTTCTAATATAAAAACTGGACATAATAAGAGTACCCTCCTCACATTGCTTTGATTCTGTGAACTAATACACACACAAATTGCTGCACTAATAAGTGCCCAATAAAATGGCAATAACAATAGCACTGGTAATTTTTATTGTATTATAGAATTGCATCAGTAGAAAAATTATCTCCTAAATGTAACTGAGACCATTTATACTTACAAGAGAGATGTTTACATAGGATATCAATACAATAACAGAAACATGACTTTCTTAAGCTTCAAAAATATCATATTTTGGTCATTTAATATTTAAATATGAAACTACTGACATTTCATAGCTCAAGTCTAATCCTGGAAATAAGCAATGGGCCTTGTTCTGGAGTAAGAAAATAGCATATGAAGAATCCCTTGTAAAAACAGCAATTCTACACAGAGCAAAGCTCACATTCTTGTTGCCAACTGCTTTTGCTGATAAGGTGGAGTAATTGAAGGACTGATGGTAAAGGTTGCTTTTTCTGAATGTTGCTCTATTGCACCCCTTGCTCTATTGCATCAACACCCCCTTGTCATGGCTGTTAAAGGACCTATACAACAGGACCTGTACCTCTAAATGTAGCATTTGGATTGCCTGAGATAAAAGACAGGATGCAGCTCTGTAAAGAGCTACAAATTCTAAGTTATTATTTTAATACTAACAGGCCAACTTCAGGATGTGCACATGAAGCTCTCCATTTTAGTTGCTTGCAAAATGATTTTTCCTAAAATCTGAATATGGCATTTATTTTTCATATTTCCTTCACATAGGTTGAAACTACCTTTTTTCCTCCTGTTGATACAGGAAGGCAACAATACCCATGCATGGTGTTTCTAATTTTTAAGGCCCCTAGAAAACCCCATGTGATAAGTAAATATCATAAAATTAATAAGCAAATTTTAAAGTAAATTGATTATTTCCTTCTCTGGAGATCCAATTAAACTTTTATTATCATTCTACAGCTTCTTATTTATCAAATTTTTATGGATAAATACTTGCCTTATCTTCCTCTAAAAATACTAGAAAGAGTCTTACAAACTACTGCCCCATCTCTACCAGAGAGGGTCCTCACCATCCATCCATTTGGACTCTCAAAGCTATACACGTCAAGCTGCTTCCCAGCCACTCTTTCTTCCATACCTCAGTGATTTTCCAGGGACATGCATGCATGAGGAGAGGAACAGTGTGTGTCTTGGGCTGTGCTCCCCAATAAATAGACTCTGAGACAAGTAAAATATTGGGGAGACAGTCCCTGGCACTGCGGAGGGAAGTGGAGAAGTGAGATGGAAAAGGAAGGAAGCCACTTCAGGGTAGGCCATTGGATAGATGACTGCTATGGGCAGGGCCCAAAGTCTGCTTCAATAGCCAGAGAACACCCTCAGACCTCTTGGGAGCACAGTCTTTGAGGGCAGAAGCCTTTGGGAGGTGTGTTTGTCTTCTACTGCCTCTGTCATGGAGTCTCCCTCTCTGATTCTGCTCCTGCCTTCCTCTTATAAGAACCCCTGTGATGACATTGGGCTCACCTTGGTAATCCAGGACCATCTCCCATCGCAAGATCCTTAACCTAATCACACCAGTAAAGTCCCCTTTTCCATGTAAAGTCACATATTCACAGGTTCCAAGGATGAGGAGATAAACATCTTTGTGGGTCAATTATTCCATACCTACCACAGCAGATACAAGAATCCTGGATGCCCAGGGGATGTGTCAGGTACCCAACAGTGTTTCCTTCCAGACACAGATAGGTATTGCAGAGTTAATTAGTCTTTGAATACTTTAAGGAAGGAAAAAGTAGGTACTACATAAATAGCTTATGTTTATTCCACCAATGAAGACTGACATCCTCCAGGTCTCCTGTAACGTTGCAAAAAATCCTAAGATGTACAGTATCAAGAGGCATATCTAGTTGTTAGTTTAGCATTAGAAGTAGCATGTTTTGAGGCCCAGGATCACAGAGCAAAATAGAAAACTGGAATTTCAATTTCTTGTCAGTTTCACAGGGGAACAGAAAGCCTCAAGACAATCACATCTTATTTTAGGGGCCCATCTAATTTCAAGTTGTTTCATCAAAAGCAAAAAATGTGTTTTCCTGGGGAACATTGCTGTTCTGTTTATAAAAACAAAAACAGCAAGCATCCATGCAGGTGTTGGGAAGGATGGCGAGATGAAAGTCAGAGTAAAGACTTCGCCTGCCATGATGGGCTTTGGTGAGATGAACCAATAGCTTCCAAAGCTGACAAACTTAACACCTGCCATAAAGAGTGAAGATCAATAAAGAGGGGGAGGAGTGTGGAGAAACTCTGCAGCAGTCAATCACCATCACAAAGCAGTGGCTGTCCCTTTCCCTTACTTTTCTCTCCCCAACCCCATGAGTCTTCTAGAGAAATAATTCCGTATTCTTTTTTGGTTCCAGAATAATTTCTTGGCTAACTCATTTCTAGTATAATTTATCCAGTACCTCTTATAAATGCAAGTCATATGCTAGAGGTGAGTCAGAACTGGCCTCTATTCTCAAGCCAATCAGTCTGCTTTGAGTATATACAGGAAACCAATTTCAGGACATGGTGATGATTACTATTTATGGAAGATAGAATTCTTTGCCCCCAATTCTCCGCTCATCTGAAGTAGCATTGTATATACACACCCTTACCAAATCCACTTAGAGGGCAGGGTTACTTTTATGATCCCTTGCCTTGGTGTCTGTCTATGAAACTCGCTTTGGACAATAGGGTGTTTGGAGATATGATGCAACTAACACAAAATGTATTCACTCTATTGAGTTTATCCTTTCACAGTCTGGTGCACTGCCACGAGAAGAAGTATCCCACATAGATGGTTCCTGGCAAACGTATGCTCCTGAATGAGACATGCAGAGTTCACCACGTGTCGTGGGTAGCCACCAGTTCATGTGCAATCAGACACATACCAGATAGAACTGACTTGCAGCTATAGCCTGAACCCTGAGGTCTGGAACCTAAAACTTGGAATCTGGATCCTAGATACTGGACTAGCTCAGTCTAGTTGCTCACAACCACAGACTTGTGAGCACCAGAATAAATGATTGTAAGCTGCTGAGAAACAGAAAGAAGACACACAAACCCTCCCTTCTTTAACACGGGGGACCAGGTGAGAGCAAGTCCTCTGGGGCCCTACAAAGCCGAAAGGATAGATATGGTCATAACCCATGCCCATGCCATCTCTCAGTGAGGCCTCTCTTCCACCTCTGCTCTGGGTCTCAGAGTTTTGATATATAAACAGATTGCACCCTGAAAAGCTATACTTGTGGCCGGCACCGCGGCTCACTAGGCTAATCCTCCACCTGCAGCGCTGGCACCCTGGGTTCTAGTCCCGGTCGGGGCACCGGATTCTGTCCTAGTTGCTCCTCTTCCAGGCCAGCTCTCTGCTGTGGCCAGGGAGTGCAGTGGAGGATGGCCCAAGTGCTTGGGCCCTGCACCCCATGGGAGACCAGGAGAAGCACCTGGCTCCTGCCTTCGGATCAGCGCGGTGCGCCAGCCACAGCAGCCACTGGAGGGTGAACCAACGGTAAAGGAAGACCTTTCTCTGTCTCTCTCTCTCACTGTCTACTCTGCCTGTAAAAAAAAAAAAAAAAAAAAAAAAAAAGCTTATACTTGTAAAAGCCAAGTAAAAAGCCAAATGTTGCAGCCTTTTTATCCCTTCCCATCTGTGTGTGATCATCTTCTTATGAAATTCGAATAATAGATGGCTTGAAATGAGAACACTAGTTCACTACAGCAATTGGAGACCCAGTGTTAGGCACAGATAGGGGATCATTTCTTTTTGCTGCAATGAAAGCTCCTCAATCTCTCTGGACCTTAGTAGCCTCATTTTAAAATGCAGAAAGCAGCTGGCAACCACTGACAGAAACTGTTGCAGTCCTGTGGCTGGGTGTAATTTCAGAAACACTCCAGAATCTTTTCCAGAGGGCTCTTAAAACCTAGTCTATAAGGGCCTACCATCGTGTGTAGGTCTTCTCATTGAACTTCTAAGTTTCAGTAGGGCAAGAATATAAAAATATAAAAATTCTTCACAAGTAATACTTCTTAAATACTTGCCTATGTCAAACCCATATTGCAAATACATTAAAAATAAATAAAAATGTCCAAGTTAAAGTCTACACAAAAATATGAAGATAGGAGAGTATATGTATATTAAAGTCCAAGGGTGCTTCAAAAGTTCACGGAGATAGAATTAAGTTTATTTTGGTACAAGAAAAACTTAAATCTATGCCAAAAAATGGTATTCCAAATGTTCATGAAAAAATGCCTATGATGAAAAAACTATCTATGGATTTCAAGAAAAAATTTGTACCAAGATAAACTTCTCTTTTTATTCCATTTTTTAAAATATTTTTATTTATTTATCTGAGAGGTACAGTTACAGA